CTGAGTGGAAAAGACTAGACAGGTTTTTCTCAAAAAATACGATTTTTGAGGTTTTCCACCCGATCTCAGTTTTTTGCATTTTTCTCTCCAAAAAAGTGATCAAATCGAACTGAAAAGATGATATTCGTAATCAGCACGAAATTCTGCATCGAGTGATGGGCTTTTAAGGCAAAAATAAAAACATTCTCCTCTTTTGAATTAGCCGCGCCTTAACTGCTGTGAACAACGTCCTTATTCTGCTTAAATTTTATCTTAACAGAATAAGTATATCAAATAAAATCAAAATGCTGACCTTCAATCTCACACTGAAAATCATCATCAGGCATTATGACTATATTGAACAAAATCTTTTTGGACGTTAATTTTCCTTTTCTCCCTTCTTTTTTACTACTACGTATGACTATGTATTGTTAGAAATGCTGCATCATACAATTGCAACGTTTCTTTTGGTGATAGACTTAAATCAACGGGCAAACTGCCGCGTTCAATCTCAATCAATTGTTTACTGTTCATTAAACCAATCAGATGTATTGGATGTAGTGCTTTTCCTGAATATAGATATTTATTTAAATCTGCAAGACGTTCCTTGTGAATTATGATAACTACTTGTCGCTCCGGTTCTTTATATAATTCACTACGTAGACGGTTGCACCTACTTGATTTACCAAGGCGTTTGTTGGTGAGACATAGATACAAAGACCGTTATATGAACCTTTCAATACTTCTTTCATTGCATAATAGGATGCATAGGTTTTGCCTGTAAAGAATAAGAAATTATACTTGCAACGAAGTCTCATGACTGTTAACAATTTTCCATTTGAAAACGATACCATTTTTCACTGAGATGACTCTCATCTGACGATAACAGAATATTTTTTATATCCTCTTGTTTTTGAACAAATGGATCCTTGGAACGCATCACATTTTCACACTTGTGTTTTTTTTCACCGAGTACTTTGGAACACACTATACACCGTTCGAAAGTGTCGTCTAAATCTGCAATCATTGTTAAGGTAGCAAAATATTCGATACGTAGCGGTTTTAGTTTATTTTTCTTGTCTTCTGTTGATGTTGTTGTGATTAATAGTTCTTTTAAATAATCATGCTGACAGTTCAGTTTCCTATTTAATAATTCCAAACGCTTCGCTGATGTTTGAATAGACGATTATGATGATGGAAACAAATACTTGTCGATTATGTCGATCATATCTGAATCAATATTTTTACTTTTTAACGTTTTCTCAATATTTGACATACGTTGAAGCTCTTCTTGCTTCTTTTTATCTTCCGTATATTTGTCATTCACTAGAATACCAAAGTGAATGTCACACGCCAGTCAAAAATCAAAAATATCGACTTTACCTGCAAGAATTTTTTGTTTATTAGCCGATTGTTTCACTTCCTTTTCGTGTTTTTGCTTTAAAATGAATTCGTTTGCTAACAATACTTTTTGCGGTAATGCAATTTTCAATTGATTATCTTTAATATCGAAGGAGGTAAGAGACTTACCGTAAGCCGTAAAATAGTCAAGAAAATTTTGATTAACCGTTGTTCTATATCTATACTTTTTTGCTTTCTTATTCATATCATCTTTTATGCGTTCAGTCTCTGTTCCGCATGGTTTCACTAAATGCCAATGATGTGTACCTGAAGAAATAAACGAGAGGATGAAGCACTGAAAAACAAAAAAAAATTCGAAAGACTTCTAGACTACCTTTATATTGTACATGGTCCGAAGGTGGAGTATCAATAAAATCGATATGTGTATGTGTTGGTCTCAAATACTCGTTAATAAAAGGATTCGAGATTTTTTGCCAATGTCCTTCTGCTATTTTGCAAATTAATTGAAGCTGATACGAGTGTTTCTAAGGAACATTGAATATCTCCCGATTAAATTAACTGTTTGACGTTGTCACTTAACAGCTCCTCAGGTGAAATTGTAACATGTGAATTATCGATTAAATGTACAGTTGATTGGAAGATCTCCAATGTTTCACTGTCAATCGAAAAATTGTTGCAGCTGTTGACGAGTGAATAAATTGTAAATGCAAAGAGACGACCATCGAACATATCAGATATGTTTTTAAATGAGAAGTCTGTTTGTGTAGTAGTAGATAAAACGATTGCTAGAAGTTTTTGAAATACAAAAACTAGTTGCGATACAGCAGAGCTGAAGGTGACAGTCGGAAATGATACGATGTGACGATCGCTAATTGATAATCGACGAAGTAACGAAATATGGAGACACAGAAATGGCATCAAACGCTTTAAAAGTACCAGTTGAACTTCATCATTCTAAACGAAAGAAATAGAGCGGCCGTGATCTTTACAATGCTACAAAAAGAGGAATACAATAATACCTTGCTCGTTTCAAACATAATTGCCAAGACAAGTTGACATAGATACAATCGGACATCTGTAACTTGTTCTTTTTTACATAGCTGTATACGTTTTTGATCATCGGGACTTTTTAATATCGTGGTTAGAGTAAACAAATGTACTTTGTCGAATTCCGCAATTCCTTCCTCTCTACTCAATATCATCCTCTGAAGTTTTTCTTTTATATGACTCGGTGGGCATTGTATAGCAAAATAAACTTGGAAACAGTCTACGCTTGTGTCAGATAGTTTCATATTATTCATCAAATACAATCCACAATTAACAGAATAGTAATGGTAGTTACCAAAATAACGATAATAAACACGTAAATATTCAGTTTGATTGTCTGTTAATAGCACACAACTAGTTACAGATATCATGTCGTTATAGAATATATAATGTGGTTTTTCTTCTTCATAAAATTTAACATACTCTTCTAAAAGAAATGAGTCAAATACGCGTAGTTTTCTTGAGCACTCAGTTTTTCTTCAATCATATTTGATTTAATATGTTTAATAAAACATTGTCCTAATAAATAAAGAAAGAATTGTGAATGTTACTACTAATTATCTGTTTCACGTCATCAAGAAAGAGAATGTAATAATTGATTTTATTCGATTGATTAAATAAGGTTAGAAGAATGCGCTCAGCAATATAGATGACATGTAACATATTACCATAGTACTCGTTTAGATTGACACTTGAAAATCCTGTGGCAGTTAACAGTAGACTATCACCATCAATAAAATATTGTGTACATTCACGAAATTCACGATGAACTTCTAACCACTTGGCCGTGAATGGACATAGTACATCTAACAAAGTCGAATTATGATTTTTATCGTACGGAGAAGCAGACTGTTTCAATAACGATTCGACTGTTGTTAAAACTTCTTTAGTAGACCAGGGTAATTCCGAAACACTATATTTCTCCGATATAGTGACTTTAGATCGATTTGAAAGTAAAAATAAACATCACCACTTGACTCAGCGTGGCCGATTACCCCTATCTTGATTCATTTTACGATCGTACCCATTCTTAAAAACTGAAATTCCAAATTCGCACGAGGGTGGTTTTTCAGAGATCTTCTGGAAAACCCTCGAAGATCCTGGCAAACCAAATGATTCTTACGTGCCTAGATTCCTCTAAATGTCCTCTGTTCAACGGCAAAAATCCGATCTCGCTAGTTAGTAACGTTTCTGAGTTATTCAAAAAGCAACGGACTGTATTCTATTTTGAAATGGATAGTAGTTTAAATAAATGCGAGAAGAAATTTCATTCTTTCTTCAGATGATGCCAAAAACAGCCAAATTTAGTCTTGTTTGAGGTACATCTCGGCACCAACTTGAGATGGAGAGTTCTTTTCTTACAAGTGAATGATCATTTCACCAAACAAAACAGTAAAAAGAAATTTAGAATGTAAAAAGATATTCTTACCTTTATTTTTTCAGCAATACTGATATTGATATTGTCGTCGAGCATGAGCAATAAATATGTGTACAATATATATAATTTATATATATATATATATAAATTGCTTCGAGTAACAGCTTACACAGTAGTAGGCATGTACCAGTTTTTAACTGGTGTTGGGGCATCCGGGAGAATTGCTACAAATCAGTTATCACAATTCTCTCAGAGCTGTAAAACGTCTAATTTTGTAGAAAAATGTTTGCTTTACAAAATGCATTTGTTAAAAAAATTTCAGAATCATTTCTAAGAAAACTCAGAGTATTCAAAAGTACATTAAATCACGAAAAAAAACTGTTCGAACAGGTTTTTTTCGTAATTTAGTACATTTTAGAATGCTCTAAGTTTTCTTAGAAATGATTCTGAAATTTTTTTAACAAATGCATTTTGTAAAGCAAACATTTTTCTACAAAATTAGACGTTTTACAGCTCTGAGAGAATCGTGATAACTGATTTGTAGCTATTCTCCCGGATGTCCCAACACCAGTTAAAAACTGGTGCATGCCTACACAGTAGACGAAACAAGGGTGAGTATGTTTCTCTCTTTCTCTATTAGGTCAATTTTGAATAACAAACACAGTTAAATAAGGAGAAGAAGGAAAACAATTAACGCCAGACGTACTGGTAATGGTACGTCAGGTTCATCTTCAACGGTTTGTTTGTTTAATGACATTAGTTAGATCATCGAAAAATATTTTATTGTCACCTAAAATATATTCATTTATGTGTATTAAGAAGAGTGTATCACAACTTACAATTTTGATCTATATCATAAAGTAGACGCGTCATTTGGGTATCCAATATTATAGTAAAAATTTCTTTTAATATTTTCTCTAAACAAAAATACACTTTTAGATTAGTTGAATTTTGTGGTATTTAAAACATACTGCTTTGTTCCCATGTTATTGGTTGGATGAGGATGAACTACATTAAGGACTATATTAATATAAACTTTGATCAATTCAAAACTAAAGATTAAATATGATTTAATGATTTTTTTTAGTTGTATTTAATAAAAAATAGATATATTTAGAAATCTAAATCGAAGAAAAAAAACGATTGAGTTGATTTTGATAAAACTAAAATGTCATCTCACCTGATTGTATTTCTAATATTGATTTATTTTGGTAAAAACTTTTTAATTGATCATTTGACAACATTAACAATTTTATATGAATGTCAAAGAGAAGTGAATGTGTTATTTTATTAGAAGAGAATTTAAACGAATATGAGACTACAATCAGAAGATAGTAGCTTGTTCTCAGTTTTATAACGTTATCAGTTTTTGTCGACTTTTCTACAGTCTACCCTCTCCTCTCTCCTATCTCATCACATATCATGTATCAAAGAGACTCTATACCTGTGAGATGATCAAATCGATTATTTTAAGATAAAATTCTTTATAATATGATTGTTGAAAATGGAGTTATACAAACCTATGGAGAATATTGTTTCTGCTTTCATTGAGTTGACCAAAAGTTGTTCTCATTATTTCTGAATCTCTCTTTGACTTAATTAATCAATATTGGATTGAAGGGAAGTATCTGATAATGAAAATCTTGCTCTCAAGAAATATTTCTTGTATTTGTTTATAGAACTTTGAAAGATAGACTTTTATCCGAATTTTTAGACTTGACAAGTTTGTCAGCATTGTAACCTCGCTTGGATGATCAACAGTATGTCGGCTTACACGCGTAACTGTCACCCTCAGCTGCGGTGGATTGAGCGATATTTTTCTTTCAAATCAGCCTCAAAAGCACATTACTAGACGCAGTATTTTGTACTAATTACAAATACCAACTTTAAAACGAACGAAACTCAAATTTTTAAACCGAAAATTCAAATTTAAAACGTAGAAGTCTTTTTATTTCTATTTTCTGATCTAGTTAGCTTTTTAAAAAGTTTCAGAAAGTATATTAGCGGATAAAGAATTAAATTCTCTACAAAATACATTCTTGGCTTTGTCAAAACAATCTTAAAAACCGCATTTTACACACTAAACAAGTTTTTGCTGATTTTTGACGAATTCGAAATGGTACTTTTTTTGAAGCAATTGTACGAAAATCAAAAACATTTCTTCCAGCGTTCTTTCTTGCTCAGTTTGATAGGGAGCACTCGAGTGCATAAAGCTGAGTGCATAAAGCTGAGTGCCAATCAAATTTATAGAAATCTTTTTACCGGTAGAAATAAAACGGCAAAAGACAGAAAAAACTGATGTAATTCCGTCATGGAGCCATTTCACTTGGTTTTTTTTCATTTAAGCATTTTTAAGTGAAAGTAAAGGGATAATTCGAAAGATCTTTTCATGCTCTACAACTTTTATATTAGGCTTTTTTTTCTGAATATGTCTCGTTTCCGAGCATTTTTCAAACTTTGCAGAGCACTAGAAAAAAAGGCTAAACAATGTAATTCCGTCACAATATCTATTTTGCTCCTAAAAAACCGTTCTACTTAACCGACTCATTCGAAATTCTTACCACAACCCAAGCATTCTATCGCACATCTTTGATAAAAATTTCGTCATCTTTTGTTCCGTATTTAAAGAGAAACAGAGTCCAAAAATTGAAAAAACCTAATTCCGTCACTCGCGTTTAAACCTATGTGTTTGTTAGGAAGTATAAACTAAATCTCATATCAGCTGTCATCTTTCAATATACATATTCTTATCGTCACTCGATGGTTATTTTCCCTTTCTGTTCTTCTGATATATGTATTCACTCTTCTGCTTTT